GCCTATTTCTCTCTTAGCGAACGAATCGAGTGAGGTTTTATCTTTTGACTTTCACTGGTTATGAAAATGAATTGTCATCACGTCTGATTAAGTTAAGTTACGCTTAACCGGAAACGCATCGGCCTTCGAGGCCACTAATGTTACTGAGGTAAAGTCACAGGTAAACGGAACCACTAATGTTATTGAGGTACAGTCACAGGTAAATCCTTATCAGTTGAATTGATAGGTGATGCCGTTTTATCACTCGTCCGTGAGCTGCAATTACGTGATGACTGAACACAAGGATGAGTTCTTGCGTATCAGTAAGTATCCATGGGATCTGATACTTACGGATTCGCTGTTCTCAACGAGTGGATATGGACTCGCACAACTTAGTCGAGCAAATCATGTAATAATGCATACGACCAGTGTAGAAGCAGCGCCGGGCCTCGCTAAAGGATTTGCCAGGTAAGATGATGAAATTTTACATCATCAGAAATCTGTAATCCTAAGAACTACCGGAACCCAAAACTGTACCCTCTTCTTTGTCTTTTTTGCAAACATATATATAAAATTGTCAAATCTGCCGGTACGCCCGCAGCTGATTTGTAGATAGATGGTGTTGACTTGCATGAAGTTGAAAGCTAATATTTACAAATATTTTAGCTAGGAAGTATATCTCGACTAGTCACGCAGATGGCCTACCGATTAGCGCAACTCCAATGTATCATTGATGACTTCAAAATGTCGAGCCAGAAGGATAGTGCTCATCTCCTAATACTAGGGTGCTGAAGGCAATAAAATATGGATGCGAAACGTAGTCACTTAGAAAGTTATATAGCAAGTGTTGGTCGTGACGGAGAGGGCAATAAAGCGAAGTATGGTTGCGGCGTTCACTTGCGATTATATAAGCAAATAGACTCTCCGTCAGATGAGTAGAGAAAAAGGAAAGCAAACGACTCCTCCATCGACACATGAAAAGATGTCACGCTAACATCGAACAAACAGTGTAGGGTACGCAACTACGGATCGAAGAGATTGGCATTTGAGAGCATTTCAGCAACGTTGCTCGCGGCATATCCATGCCTAGGCCGTCTTGGTTTCCTTCAGATGTGAAGCATATATTTCTAATTTTGCCACAGTTTGTTTTCCAGTTTGCAGGCACTATGCCACGATGCCACCATTCTTCATGAAAACAGAAAATG